CTCGCTTGAGCGAAGAAACCAAAATCTAGGCAACAACAATCTAGACCAACTAACAACCAACCTATTCCAAACTCGCCTAATATGTTCTAAAACTTAAATGCAAAGAGTCAAAGGAGAAAAACAAGACATGGATACAATACAAAGTCACGAAACCCGAGTTCGGAATACAATGAAGGTCGGGGTAAAACCGGGATCGCTATAAAGAGTTATCCTGAGTGATTAGTGGGCGTACTTCTCATATAATTGCTTAAGATTTGATTTTTGGGATCATACTATGAGAAAATAATTTTTTGTAAATTTCTTAATGTCAATATGAATGACCTGTCTTTAATCAGATCAAAAAGGAAATTAACCGAATTACACATAAGTTATCTTGATCGTTGAAAAAATAATTATCTTAAAAATTATTATTAAATAAATAAATTATCTAAATGAAATATGATACAAATTAGACCTAGTGAGGACAAGACTCTTGTGTTTAGACTTGTAAGGAATCCAATCTTAAAAGAAAGGATGAATTATACTAGCAGTCTCTACAGTTTGAGTCATGTGTCACTTTGATTCTTGACTTTTCAATTGTGACACATTTGACTCTGAATTTTGAATCTTGTTTCAAATAAAGACAATTAAAAATACCATTTCTTAATTTCAAGGGCAAAGTTGTCAATTTGATAAAATATAAACTAATTTGAAAAAAATAAACGTTAAAAAAATATTTTTGAATTTTTAAAAATTATTTCTACCCATTAAAGATAAAATTATGTAAAATTGATAAATTTTTTAGACATTTATTTATTTATCTTTACCAAATTATTTTTATTATATGTTTAGATGATGATCATATAATGAGGGGTTATTTTTATTTTCATTAAATTAGTTTCTATTTCTTCAAAAGCCAAATATGGCGACAACTTTGATATCATTATTAAACCAATCCATTAAATTAAAAAATCCAAAACTAAAAACATTTCACACATTAAATATATCGATTACACATTAAAAACTTAACAACCACTCATTACATGATTATCATCCAAATCAATGCTTTAAAAACTGGACCGGTGAACGAATCGGAAAAGAGATTGAGTGGACGGGTCACCAGTTTAACTACTGCGTTGAAGCGGAATCGAACCATGACGTCATAAATATATTAAAATAATATTTAAATAAAAATATAAGTAATAAAATTGAAAATATTAAATTATCTTAAATATTTCTCATAATATTTTTTTTTACTAAAAAATATAATAATATATTTTAAAATATTATTAATCTTAATTTTGGAATAGGAAACCAAATATTCAATGTTCCCTCCATATGATTTTAATTCAAATAATTTGATTGAAAGAAGAGTAAAAATTTTGGAGGGACGCCAAAATTTCAAATCTCCCTCCAATAAATTTGATTGAATCTCACATAAATTTTTTAAGTTTTTGTGAAATAATTTTTTTTCTTATAAATAGGTAAAGACTTTCACAATAATTTCAAACTCTTAATGAGATTCCTCACAAGAGGAGACTTTTGAAAGAGAGTTTCTAATTAAATTTTCTTATATATATATATATATGTATATATAATAAGTAAGAAAGAATAAAAAAAATAGTCAGAAAATATAAAAAAAAAGTTCAAAATTTTTAATTTTATCAACCCGGCCGGTTCACCTGACCCCGTCCCCGGGTCGACCGATTCGGTGGTCCAACCGTCGATTTTTCCGATTCTCTCTAAATAGACTAGTTTTTGGATTGAAACGGTTTAGAGAGTATATCTGGATCGAAATCCCGACTGGTTGACGGTTCAACCAGCTGGTCCGATCTTATTTTTAAAACTTTGAACCAAACACATAATAAAAATTAATTTGGTAAAAAAAAAAATAAATGTCTAAAAGATTTATCAATTTTACATAATTTTATCTTGGTGGGTAGAAATTATTTTTAGAAATTCAAAAATATTTTTTTAATATTTATTTTTATTAAATTGGTTTATATTTTATCATATTAACGACTTTACCATTAAAATTGATTAATGATATTTTTAATTGTTCTTATTTAAAATAAAATTTAAAATTTAAAATTAAATGTGTCATAATTAAAAATTGAAGATCAAAATGACGCTTTCCTAAACTACAAAAACCATTAATTTTGACATTATCAATGGTGTTAATTAACTGTTGTTGTCAGCTAACTTTTGACATTATCAATGAATTCAATAAAACTATTGGAGGGGCTTGTTAGATGCTGTCTCCAAATTATTGCTTAATTTATTGTGCACGACATGGGCTTTGATTAGGGTTAGTGGTGGGGTTGACCGACACCACGCATATTTTATGGATATCATTACAAATTTAGAATTGTCCTTTTTTTTATTTGATGAATTTTTATTAAGGGATTGTTTGAAATGATCTAAATAAATGTATTTTTTATTTTTTTACGAAAAGATATGCAGAAAAATAGAGAGGTGATGTGATGAAAAAAAGATAAAAAGATAAAAAGATGGATTATTTTGGGTTTGCCAAACTTGGACTAATATATTTTTTTAAATTATACATTTTTAGATTTTATTTAACTAGATGAATCAAAAAGTAAAAAATTTTAACATATATTTTTTAAAATTCACTAAAGATATATATATATATTTAAAAAAAAGTGTTTCTCATTATTTATTGTTTTTTTTCCAATTATGATGACAATCTATTATCTTTCACTAGTTAAAATATAAATAAGGTAACTCTTTATTTTAATTATTTTCTTTTTTATTTATGTACTTTAACACTATTTTTTATTTTACATATTTATACATATAAACTATTTTTCGTTTGAAAAGTAGGTTGACTTTTTGGTTTTTTGACTTTTTTGACTATTTTAACTTGGGCTAAAAACTTGATTTGGGAAGAGCTTTTTGACTTTTTGACTTTTTTGATTTTTTTTTTGTGAGAGAAGAGTGTAATGATTATGGATTAAATGTGATGTTTTGTTTGTTGCAGTTAAAATAGTCTATTTTATCTTTTGTGACTAAAATAGCTACAAACCAACTTGCCAAACGGATAGGGTTGTTTTGAAAAGTTAGAAAAAAATTGACTTTTTAACATTTTGACTTTTTAGTGGCTTTTTTGACAAAAAATTGAGTTGTTTTGGGTAAAAAAATTGAATTTTTTGACTAAAAAAGCTAAAAACCCAAAAAAACTAACTTTTTTGACAACTTCCCAAAAGACCCCAAAATCTTTTAAAGGTTTTCAAATATAATTAATCTTAAAAATTTTATTAAAATAACTATTGTAACAACTAACCGATCTCATTTAAAAAATCCTTAAAGATGTTGTATAAGGTGTGCTCCTATTCAGCCATCTCTAATAATTATGCCAATCTAATGATGACTTGAATTTAACTCCGAAACTTTATTTTACTCTAATAACCGACATCAATTTTTACTTATTAAACTATTGTTAAAACTACTCATCATATTTAAGAGTTGCATAATGTAAATAAGTAAACAAAAAATAACATTCAAAAAATAATGACAGCTTGATGAAAAAAATCATATTTTAATGTTAAAAATGTTTTTCATTAATTAAAATAATAATTTTCCTAACTTAACTTAAATGATATTTTTCATAAATAAATAAAGCTTCAAATGAAATAAATTATTTATTGGATATTTGAGTCCCAATTTGAAGTCTTTCTAACATCTCATTTCTATTTACAGATACAAATAATTTTTTCCATAAGATATAAATTTGAGGGTGAATTGCAAATCAATAAAAATAATTACAAAAATATGAAGGTATAATTGTGGTTTGTATCATAGTGCTAGTCAGATCATAATTTTCACTTGCATGGGAACACGAATCCATTTGCATTTTTATTTTTATTTATTTTTGTATATAAATAATTTATTTGTTCCTTTTGATTTGTAATTTTTCTAAGTTATATAATGTATATGATGAATGTAGAGAAAACATAAATGAATTTATTAAAAACCTCTCAAATGTGAGCAAAATAAAATAGGAAATGCTACTGTCTCAGATTTATCAACCATGAAAATTGTTCAGAAATAAGTGTGCGGTATAGATAAAGAATTGTTTTGTTGTAAGACACACCTAAAATTAATCTCATCCACACAATTTGAATATGGACATCCTCAATTTTGTAGTGTTGCTCAAATAAAAAAGAACTTTGAAGTGAGAAAAGAAATGATAAAATTATAGTTTCTTACTTACATACAAAAAAGAAAAGAAATAATTGTAATATCTCACATTCTTTCTCACTTTGTTACTCATTCAAATAAGTGATAGAAATCTTCTCATTTGACAACTTAGTTTTTTAGCTCAAAAAAAAAAAAAAAAACCGAAATTTGTTGATTTTTTTTATTATAAAAATCTAGAAAGTTATTAAAAAAGTCAAAAAAACTATTACAAAAGTCAAATATATGTTTTTCTATACAACTAAAAAAAAGGAAAATTATACGCTATCCCAGTCTGTTTGGCAATTTTTCATTTGGCTATTAATTTTTTTAATTTTATTTTGGCTCTTCATATTTCAATTTTTTCTCAATTTAATTTTTAAGTTAACATACATTCAAAATTAGACTAAAAAATGCTACTACCACATGATATACAAAATATATTATTATATTAAAATTTGAAATTGTATCAATTGTGTAAGATATATATAATAAAATATTTTATGCTGCGTAGTAAAAAATGTGCTTTTTTTTTAAATCTAATTTTAGACATAAATTGGTTTATAGAATAAATTTAAAAAAAAATCAAATATAAAAGGCTAGAGTGAAAGAAAAAAAGACTTTAAGAACAAAAAAAAAAAAAAAGCCAAACATAAAAAGGTTAAAACATAATTTATCCTTAAGAAAATTATTTTCAAATCCATTTTAATTTTTATTTTTCTCACCAAAACCCACTGTCCAAACAAGGTGTAAATGTTTAGGAATGAGTTTTGAGTGTAAAAAAACAGGGAAAAAGTGGGGAGAAGTTATGACTGTTTTTTTCACTAAAATTTGAGTAAAGTTGGAGATGCCATTACTCAATTATCCAACCCTGTCACCACCACCACTATAATCATCATCCCATTCCTAGTTCCTCTCTCTCTCTCTCTCTCTTTCTGCTGCCATTGGATCTGCTCTTTTCACTCTCTCTCTTTCTCTCTCTCTCAAAGGTATGAGATTTACTGTGTGTGTTGTGTTGTGTTGTTTTGCATTTCCAATGATGTGTCTCTGTGAAGAAACATTTCTTGATTTGTGCTCTTGATCTGCTATATTATCTTGTACTGTATATTCATGTGTTGGAACTTTGCTGCTATGGGTCTGATGCATTTCCTCTGAATTTCTGTTTGGTTGCCTAGAAATGCATTATGCCCATAAAAACAGAACTCTTCTAGCAATCTTCAGGTTTTGCATGCACGCTAGATTCATATGTATTATTGTGCTACAATTTCTTATATCAATCTCAGATTTTGCATCTACCTATGTGAATATTTGTGTGTATATGTTAATGTGCTAGAGTTTTTGTCTTTGTGGGTCTGAATCTGATGTATTTTTCTGTTTGGATCCTAAGAAAGCTAGGATGTTTTTAAAAAAAATTTAAGTTGTAGTTGTAGTTGTCGTTGTTGTAGTTTTATTTTTTGTGTGATGAAAATGAAACTGATCGGAACTGAGTCAAAAGAGAGAACATATAGTGATTCAATCTTCTTGTTCTTTTGTGTCTTTTTCTCCATCTTATCAGCAACCAAAATGATTAGTTTGATTGATCAAAATTTACAAACCTGGCCTCAGTTTGATCTAATTAGTAACTTTCTTCTTCAGATTGGTTAGGTCTAAACACTCCCTTTGGACTAGCCAAAATGTGTTGCAAGTTCCCTCTGCCATCCCCATTCTTGAAATTGCGCGCTCTATCATGTTTACTATGAATGTTCCCAAGTTTTTTTCTTTTTTTTTGGAGGAAATTTATTTTCTGTTCCTACAATTGCCTACTTATTAATTATATGCCCTATGGTGTTCTTTAGTTTGAAACTACTCTTAAACTTCTTCCCGTGACTCCTACCATTTTGGGGCATTGGAAGAGAAAGTTAGGCAGGGAAAGTGGGCATATCAGTGAGTGGCTTGGGTTTGATCATTTTGAGTCTTGTTGGTTAGAGAAGGAAGGTAAGATAGAAAATGTGGAGAGAGAAAAGAATGAAGAAGACAGGAAGAGAAATGGGGGTGTGGTTTCAATTACAAAAGAGCATTTTTTTATTTTATTTTTAAAACTTATACATTCAATCTCTGGTCATATAACTCAACCTATGTTACCTAGAACATGGATCATTTCAGTATGTGGAATAGGAATAGGAATAGGAATATGGTACTCCACATGTTCTTAAATGTGGTATGATTAGAGTAGACTTGTATAGATTACACTATAGAATTTAAGGTACTTCTGGAATAATTTTCTTTTAATAATTAGATATCTAATAAGCATTATGGCCAATTTTTAATGTTTTATTCTGTCAAAACTTCACTCAACTTAAAGTTTAGTTCATTATATTTTATTCTTTTACCCCTAAGGAACCCTTTAAGAAATATATTGGGAAAAAATTTTGGGATTGTTTTAGATCGTTAAAGTTATCGTTTTGGAACACAAGTGTTCATGTTTCGGAATGTGTTCCAAAACGTAATTCACCAGGTATTAGCGTTTTCTGGTAACTCTGTTCATTACCAACGAAACTTGACAGTCAAGCTCTTGTCACAAGCTACTCAACTCAACATAGTACTTAGCAAGAGATCGATCATTTTGATCCAACCCACAATTTTTCTTCCACAATTGATATGCCTATGCATCATTACTCTTCTGAGAGTATGTCTATGCTATGTTGTCCAAATCTTATGTATGGTATCCAACAACAAAAAATTGCAACTAGTAGTAGGTTGCATGGAGTTAATCAACCAGGTTATGACAACAAGAGCATTTTTTGAAAGCCACTTAGTCCACGTTGGACCATCTTCAAGAGGGTCCTTGAGTGCACTTGTAATATAACATGTCAAGCTATGAGCAGTAATAGTAAGATTGCAAGTGTGTGATTGAATCATATAGTTGGTGCCATCCAATTTAAGAAGACCAATCTAAAGAAATGGGTTATCACCTGGAGTCCCAACAAGACTCGCCCAGAGTCCCATTCTGTTTGCTGGCTATGGAAGCCTTGCTAACTTTTGCCATGTCCACAAGAAGAATAAAACAAAATAGCAAACAAAAACTGATCTAAAGGCTCACAAATTCAACAAGCAGCAAGGAATACTCAACCAGCAGTGACAAAATGCATGAAATCAACCCAATGTGTATAACAATAGTGATGAAAAATAACCATAAAATAGGCTCTGTCACAGTACTAGATAGTAAACCGCACACTTTCTGCACCAAAAAGCCAACCCAGATGTCAAAAAAAATAAAAATAAGAAGAGGATGCTAGTTAACACTCCTACATTGCTAGTTTGCTCTCATATGTTAGGTTTGAGCATCCAACCAAATCTCACTCAATCAAAGATTTCCATAGAACATACCCTTTTCCTGCAAAATCATTTAAAAATAAAAAAAATCACATCTAGCAATCTATTTTTTTTTTTTTTACAAAGGAAATAAACAAGGTAATCAAACCCCTAGACAATCATACTGGTATGGTTTTATTTTTATTTTTGAACATTAATACGTTGAAAAACAAAAATGCAGAGAACATAACTAGCAATGAAGTCTTCAAAAATGAAGATAATGCTATGATACCAAGTTAAACTTACAATAAAAGGAAGAGAGCAAGAGATGGATGAGAGAAGAGAAACACAATGTACAACTTAACGAGAGAGACTAAAAAATTAAGACTCCATCCGATAAACACATGTATTTATATTAGAGTGGACCAAACTATATAAAAACTCTTCAGGCTACTAACGTAACTAAACTCAAAGCATAACACATGACACATAACAATTTGGTCATTGACTTGAGATGCTTTGTGCACATCATTCTTTGGTCTAAATCTATTTTTAGTAAACCTGATTTTAGGCCATTGTTAAACACTTCTGTGACACATCTATGGAGGAGGCATATCTTGTTGGACATTGGCATTCTGGATGTAGTCCTAAAAGCACGTTTGACACTTCTTCAACGTGTCTTATTTATAAAAAATAAAAATAAAAAATTGTAATATCACACACTTTACATATACTTCAGCGACACTTCTTGAACCCTCCAAACATGACCTATATGATAAATCTCTTCATAGTAACAATGTTTTGGATTTTTCGAAATGCAACTTGTGCACTGATACATTTATGAGATGAATACATCAGGTATACGTCAGTGCTTTATAATTTTTTTTTGTATTATGTAGAGTGCAATTGTTACATGAATAATATCTTGATGTTTAAGTTATGGAATATATGACCTTTTTTTTAAAAAAAAAATTAATGTTATCTTTTCTTTCTTCTTCTTATTCATCTTCTTCTTTTTGTTAAAATTTTTCACACTACCTTTTAATAAACTGTTCATATATTTGAGATATAAACAATTTATAATAACTTTTTTACATGTCCAGGCATAGCATATCCTACGTTTTTATAAAATCGTCATTTTGACATGTCGGTGTGACATGTCATGTCACATGCCTATGCTACTTGGTCTATAGGCTTGCTCTATTTCTCCTGATACTAAGACTGCTACAGGCTCCAAAAAAGACCTAATTACATAAATTAGCCAATATGACTCACAGAAATAATTACAGTCCGTGCCAACAATTTTGAAAATTATTAAAATACCCTTAACTTTGACTCCTAGAACCTAATAAAAGGTAAAGAAAATATAACTATCAGCATACTAATCTAAAATTGACAGAAAATAAGTGTCAATTAACACTACAGTCTACAGTTAATGACACAGTATACAAGGGATGTTCCATGTAAAATTTCAGATTTTGTCCTTTTCTTGTTGCATGCTCTGCATCATGAACTCAAGCTTGAATGTGGTCTCACTTTCGGAACTCTTCCAATGTGGAGCTAAATCCTCAGTGCTATGATATATACTATTCATTCTGGTATGAGATTGTTCTGGTGAATAATTTTTCTATGATATATAGTATTAATTCTGGTATGAGATTATTCTGGTTAATAATTATTCTATATATTTTCTTAATGAGTTATTATATTTGAATTTCTAGCCATTATGTGGAGGTAGCAGTCAAAGAGGAGGATTTCAAGCGACAAAATTTGGAGTTGAGTGAGAAAGTGTTTTAGAGATATAGGATGTCTAGTAGCAGAACCCATTGGTGTTACAGTTGTAGGCAGCCTGTTAGTCTCCAAGAGCGAAATGCAGTTTGTTCTGATTGTAGTGGAGGATTTATTCAAGAACTTGACGAAGCAATGAGCATGAATCAACTTTCCCTAGATTCAAGTGAAGAGGACAATGTTGAACAGCATGACCAGAGGCCCGGATTAGTGGATTCTTTCTTGACCTTTTTGAGAGAGCGAATAGTGGGAATAAACAACAGTGTTGATAGTAGAGGGAGGTCAGATTCACACCCTGAACAAGGTGGCTTTAGTCCTTGGTTGATTTTCAGCGGTCAAGTGCCTGAGAACAGTCGATTTGAAGAACTATTCAATGAATCTGGCGGATTTAGGCGAGGTAGTGGTGGGAATTATTTTGTTGGTCCTGGACTCGAAGAACTTATCGAAGAGCTTACTAGAGATCAACGGGGTTCTCACCCAGCACCCAAATCTTTGATTGATGCGATGCCTACTGTTAAAATTTCGCATAAGCACCTTCGTTCTGATGCACACTGTGCTGTTTGCAAAGAAAAATTTAAGTCTGGGTCTCACGTGAGAAAAATGCCATGCAACCATATATATCATTCTGATTGTATTGTTCCTTGGCTAAATCAGCACAACTCATGCCCTGTTTGTCGGCAGGAACTGTCATTACAGAGATCTGATGATGTTCATAGCAATCAAAGCTCAAGGGCTCATACTAGAAGCAGCTCAAGTGGTCTGAGTAGAAGCAATAGCAAGAGATCATGGAATCCATTGTCTTTATTCCGGTCTTCTGGCTCATCTCAGTCCCGCTCTCACAATAACAGATTAGCAGGAAGCAGCTCGTCATCCACATGAACATACTCGCCTTAGAGGGTATTCTAGATGGCGTTTAAAAAAGCAAGATAAGTTTAGTTAGAAACATGGGTTTCTTTCTTTTCCCTTTTCTTTGTGACCATAACTCATCGCTGCTAATTCAACCCAGAGCAAATTGCTTATGTAATAAGAGTTGTTTGAGACCTTGGAGCCTCTAGATTTGAGTTTGCTTTGAGAAAGGTGAATGAGAGTAGTTTCATCTGTTATGCTACTGCTTCATATGTAAATTACATATTCTCACTTTTTTTCATGCTGAAAGTATCTGTTTTTGTTTTTGTATTTTTTTTTTTGTTGTATGGTCTTTAATTTATGCTTCATTGGGTGGAATCCGGGTCTTCTAGAGTGGTTTTGCAAGACAGGGCATGGTTAGTGCAGCCTAGGCACTCTGATGTCTAAGTTAGAAAGAATTTAGAGAGAATAAGAGCACTCTGATGCCTAAGTCAGAAAGAATCTAGAGAGAATAAGAACGTAGTAGAAAAGAATTTAGAGTGTGTTGTAGCCTTTATTCATTGTGTTTTGAAAATGTGAGGGTTGGTGTCCTTTTATAGTCGCTCTTTCCTCATTTTTAGGATTGGCTTCTCGTAAATAGCTTCCTTCACTTGGTTGGATTACTTGCAACTTTTATCCCGAAAACCTTATGAGGTAGATGGTCAGTATCCTAGTGAAACCATCATTCAATGTTGCCCTCTCTAGACAGATCCACGTTGTCCAATAGTGATGTTCAACTAAAATTCTAACATATGTTTATGTAAAATTTGGAAGATCATTTTCTAACTGTACATGTGTCATAATATATCTTTTAAAACAATTATATATAGGGTAAAGCACCAATAAATCCTAAGTTTAAGTCTTATGAATCATTTAGTCCTATCTTTTTACTTGTAGACTAATAAGTCCCATACCAATGTTAAAGACATTTATGTGCATCGGTGGCTTGTCTATTTGCATATAAGTTAGGGGTATGAAGGGATTTTTGGTGATGTGAAATTTACGTATTCGTCCAAAAAGCACATTGTAGGGTTCTTCCTTTACTTACTTTGAAAGACTTAGATATGATTCGCACTAAAATAGTTATGATACAAATCTTCACGCTGTGTTTGGTTGGAGGATTTGAGGAGGGATATGCAAAGAAAAAGGAAAAAGTTAGATTTGAGGAGGGATATGGAAAGAAAAAGGAAAAAGTTAGGTGAAATATGAATAAAATGTACCTACATTTCACCTAGTTTCACACACCTTTTCCCTTTCCCTTTCCAAATCCCTCTCCAAATCCCCCCACCAAACACAGCATCAATGTTTCGAATTTCAATGTTGTTTTGGTAATGTTCGAATATCACTCGTAGTTGCCCCAACTGAGGGTAGGTTTCAATCACAAACCCTAGAAATGAGAAAACCATCGTAGATGCTTGTAACATTGAGAACACTCAAGCATTTGACTGTCTGACGTTAGCAGTGTCACTCCGATGGATTTGATCTCACATCCACAATCATAGGAGTCGATTGTTTTGGTGAACGCTGGTGTCAAGTATGTGGCTTTCGACGTTTCGTTTCCCTGTTCTTGTAGTCCAGCGTCGTGCTGCTGCTAGAGTGTTGGTAATGTTGGAGTATGTGTGTGTATGTAATGGGTGTGCAGGGTTTTTATGTGGCTGATGACGTTATGTGATATTACTGGTTATGTGGGTTTGTAACTGTGTCATGTAATAATGGGTCAAGTAATGAAATGGGCCATCTATGCTTGTCTTTGTATTGTGCATGACATTCTGTTTTTGTTTGTTTTTGTTTGTGGCCATACGGGTTTGTTGGTTGCATAGATTGTCATCAGTGCAATGGTAGAATCATGTCAACATTGGGTGCCTTGTTTTGTTGCAACGCTGCAAGGACTCCCCTGTTTTTTTCCCAATTGTATACATGGTAGTCAGGTTGTGGAGATAGTTATATGTCAATGTTAGTGGTGTGGAATTTTATGATGGTTGTACATGTTTTTGATGTTTAATTGAAGCCCATGGAAATGTGATTTTTTTGATTGGGTTTTGATGTATTTGTTGTAAATGGTTTCGCCGCCTTCAACTGCACCCGAAGCAGCAATTTGAAAAAAAAAAAAAAAAACCGAATCCAAAGCCCCTACATCAACGACCCATGTTTCCACATCATAAAATCGCATGAAACGACAACAACATCAACCCCAAAAATTACACTACGTAACCCCAACATCAGTCACAAAAAAAAATAAAAATAAAATAACAACCAACCACAACATCACGATTCCACATCAGCCCCTTCACATCAAGTGACTAAACATCACTAACCTCACAAATCACTCCACGCAATCCTCACAAAAATTTGAAAAATTAACACCATATCATAACCAATCCACCCAAATATCAAGAAAAAAATCATAATCAAAATCACACTTAAGGGCAAACAAGTAAATTTCAGAATATACCATAAATAAAAGGACTAATTAATTTGAAAGAAAACTTTTAAGACTAAATAGAGCACCATTTTCTCAAATGAGATTTTTAGGTAATTTTTCCTTATATATATGTATGTACATAGAGATGTATATAAATAATTTTACTAAATTTTATGAAATATTATTTTAAAAAACATATCCTTTTACTCTATTCATTGCACTGGTTAATTACTAGTTATAATATAATTGTACATATTATATATATTCTTAGTTCATGTACTTTAACTTTGTTGTTAGAGATTAAAAAAAATTACAAAATGGATTAGTTAAAAAATAGAGTTCTTAACCTTGAATATATAAGAAAACACCAAAATAATTAGGGTAAAATAAACGAACACCTCTTATATTTCTCTATTAAACCTGACACTCTATTTTAGAATTTTGTGTAATATACTCACTCGTTAGTTAATCATGAATTGGCCCAAATGGATTCTGTTGAGGTGATGGATCTAATTTTTTTTTTTAATTTTTTATTTAGCAAATAATATGAAAGGTCTTACAAAATGAACATATCAAAGCGTGAAAAATTCTCTCAAATCTATATTTAAATTTGAGGGAAATTCAATCTGAATAAAATGTAATACAATTATTTAATAGTCGACGTAATGGCATTCAATAATCCCTTATTCCATAATTTCATCCGTCAAACAAATGTGATCTCAAAGTCTTGTGGTTTGGATTCAGTATTTGACTTTGGAAACTTAATCTTTTTAAGTGATTTTTTTGACTTTTTATGCAATAAAAATAAATTAGTGTTTGGAATAATTATTTTAGTTGAATAGATATTTGTGAGGGAAAAAAAAATGATTGATTGATACGTATAATATGATATTTTGACTTTTTTGTGACTTTGATTTTTTTAACCAAAAAATCACAAAATGAATGGGGTCTATATTCCCCTTTACATTGGATTAGATTTCTCTCATGTTCACATCTTAACATGACCGAACTTGAGGGACTTGTAGAGCCTACCACAAGTCTCGTTTCGATGATTCGAGCTGTTCACTTTTTAGGACTCGTTGAATAGAATATTCATACAAAAAATCAAGATGATCGGATATTTATAGCTCTATGTTTGAATCAAATTTGTATTTTAAAAAATGAATAGTTATTTTTGAAATTATATTTGTCGTCCTTTTTTTTGAACCAAATATGTTTTAAACATATAGACACCAATATTCAATCATCTGAATTTTTTCCGTGAATATTTTACTCAACGAATCAAAAAAAGTGAACGACTTGGATTGCCAAAATTGGTTCCAAAATGGGCCTATCAAATTCAAATGCTCTCAAATTCAAGTGACAATTTGAGAGAAGCCAAACTTTTTAAGATTTATACTCAAATTTAATTGTCTTTGTTACCATTATACTTTTGTTTTTAATGGAAAAAGATTTAAACTCACAATTTAATACTTACAATTGTACTCACAGTCACATAACATATTATATGTCAATTTTTGATTTGTCACAAACTCTTAATCATGTAAAATCCAAATCTCTTGTGGGCTAATTGTAAGATTTAAATTATGGACCTCTAATATTTCTCCTTTCGTCTTTGTTTTTGTGTTTCCTAAAAATGAGAAATCATGAAATTATGTTTGCTAAAATTGTTTGGCCACAGGCAAAAAATGATTACCCAAGCCTAAATGCAAGACTTTTTTTTTTTGAATAGAAAAAAAGATGTTCGAGAGGATATCATAACATTTATGGGCCTTGATTTCGGGATAATGGGTTGCCAATCAGATTTAGGCTAAGTTTGGCAATTCAAAAATAATTCATCTTTTTATCTTTTTTCCATCACATTACCTCTCTACTTTTCTGCACATCTTTTCGTAAAAAGATAAAAAGTACATTTATTTAGGTCATCCCAAATAACCCTTTAACTTAACGTATAGGATGGAACCCACTATCTAGACACCTAATAGATCTCATCCATGTACTATAAAGAGGGCCAAGTATCGATCGCAGTACAATGTAAAATTTCCGCAGACAAAGAGCTCCCTTTAGAATTCAATCCGTACTCACCTCTATAGAACGTAATGTGTTGTACATGAGGCTACCACTCCGGTGGCGCCTAAAGGCAGGACGGAAATAAACATTTCACAAGACCTAACTCTAATTATCATATACTTACCCAAAAAAAATCCTTTAATTATTGTGTTGTGGATCTTTCTTATAGTTCAACATGTGACATTTGGCTGCCACAATGTCTAGAATTTAAAAAATAATAAATAAAAATAAATAAATGATATTAATAAGAGAAAATTTCAAATCAGTTAAATTTTTTAAAAAAAATTCAAATCAGTAATATACTTTACAATTTTAATCATTAGGGCTCGTTTGTTTTCAAAGTTAGGTTAAGGGAAATTGTTAGTGAAGGAATTAAAAAAATTGTATTTGATTGTGATATATTTTAGTGAGTGAATTAACTATATAAAATACTATAAATATCTGAAGTTTGAAAATTGGGGTGTTTTTAGTAAAATTTTTCTGGTTTTACGCTTATTTGATTTTTTTGGCTCAAAATTCTCAAGTTGAAAAGGCTAATAATTTTTCCCCTAAAGGCCCTATTTGTTTTATTGGATATAAAATGGAGGATTTAATATGATATGGGATCAGGATATATAATAAATATGATATATATGTCTTAGATAATATATTCCTCAATTCATGTTTGTTGACTTGATATATAATAATGTTTTGAAAATCGGACCGGTGAACAAACCAGAAAAGGGACCGGGTGGATGGGTCACTGGTTCAACCATCAGGTCGAAGCGATT